TTGAGAGACACACCAGGTGTGTATGTGTATGCATGCATGCCTCAAATACCAAGGAGGATGGAGGAGAAGGGATTGCAGTGTGGCCATCTCCCCTGGGGAGTGCTTTCTTTCTCTCTCTCTCTCCAGTGAGTGCACTATAGCAAAAAACTTAAAAAAAATTCTCCCCTCATCCTAGCCTTTGATTTGGAGATGGTCTTTGAACATTGGTTCACTATGTTCCCAGATCACTGGTTTCCTGCATAAAGTCACTTGCCCTTTCCACCAACACTTCTGAGTGTTGAGCCACTAAACTTGGGTTTGGTCACTGGGTCAGACCTGTAGCCCATCTAGTTACATGGCCTTTTTTTAGAAAAAGGTTAAGAACTCAGACCTCGGAGGCCATCTTTTTTTTTGTCTCACCAAGTGCCACAGAACTGTAAACATCTAGCCATAAGGGGACAAAGAAAATGAGTTTGATTTCTTTGAGGTAAAATGAGGTAAAATATCCTATCATAATTCTTTCTCTTTTAAAGCATTATTTATTGAATTTTATTTATTATTATTATTTCTAAATATGCTATAGGGCATGTGCGCTCATCAGAGAAACAGTGAGAGAGAAAGTGAGAAAGCAAGCTGCCAGTTCCAGAACTTGAACAGTGGTCAGCCATGTGAGACTCCAGAGCCTTAACCACCACACCACCTGCTGTCTTCCCTTTCATATTTCTTTATCCTGCAGAAATTGCTGGCAGACAGGCTTCCAACGAATTCTTATCCTTAATCTTTTAGCCTGTCCTGGACAATATCTTTAAATGGTTGTTTAAAGTTTAAGAAGATAGTGAGCGATCAACAAACAGCTATTCATCTTTCACTTGCCTTCCATGTTGAGTATAAATGGAGCTAGGATACATGGCCAATGATAAGAGGAGAAGTGTAGGGAGTGGAAATAGCAAAGATGGAGAAACAAAAGTGAAAAACATGTGGCCAGGAGGTGGAGGTTAAGGTGGCTAGATCCCACATGGCCAACTTTTCAGTTTGAGTCTTGGACCTGGAAGCTTGAAAGACAATGCGAGCACGCGCGCATGTGTGTGTGTATGTGTCCAAAATCCCAAGAGGAGAAATGGAGAAGGAATTGTGGCATGGCCATCACCCCTGGGCAGTGATTTCTCACTTTCTCTCTCCATCTCTCTCTCTCAGTAGGTACACATGCCCTATTGCAAAGTAAAAACAAAAACAAAAACAAAAAGAAAGAAAGAAAGAAAGAAAGAAAGAAAGAAAGAAAGAAAGAAAGAAAGAAAAGACAAAGAAAAGAAGAATATGTTAATATGTTATTATCTAATCTAAAGCTTCAGTTAACAGGCTGGCCTCATAGCTAAGTGGTTAAGGAAGCCAATCCAATATGGCTAACCACAGATTAAATCCAGGTTCTGGCAGCTTGAAAAACATGCTGGGTATATGTGTGTGCATATTCAATATCTCAACAGGATAGCGGAATGGAGGCAAAAGGATTGTGGTATGACTCCTCCTCCCACGGGAGGGGGGTGCTTCCTTCTGTTTTCTCTCTCTCTGGCAAGCACACATACCTTTTGGTGGGTAAACACACACACACACACACACACACACACACACACACACACACCCCTTTAGTTAAATTCTTTTAAAACTGTATATAAATCACTCTGTAGCTATCATTATAAAGATTGGCTCAAGCAAGAATCATCAATAAATGTAAACCTAAGGGAGAAATTTTGAAGAGGACCAGGATATCTGTGTGACCTTAAGGTATCTCCTCATGGGGTCAGCTAGTGGCATGGTAGTTAAGGCAGCTGGAACTCACATGGCCACCTATGTGGTTTGAGCTCCAAACCCAGTGGCTTGAAAACTACACTGGGCACATGTCCCAAATCCTGAGAGAATGGAGGAAAAGGGGCATGACCACCCCCATGAAGGGTGCTCTCACTTCTCTGTCTTTGTCTTTCTGGCAAGCACACTCACTCTATAGCAAAAAAAAAAAAAAATCTCCCCATGTTGTAGTCAGCTTCTAAGATAGCCCCTTATGACCCCTGCCTCCTACACCCTTATAGAGACCCCTCCATCATTGTCTGTGTGACTAGTAGTGTGTGGCAGACATGATGGTATGTCACTTTTTTTTTTTTTACAAAGAATTATTTATTTAGGGGCCAGCAGATGGCATAATGGTTACGTTGCTGGACTCCCACATAGTAGACTGCGGTTCGAGTCCCAGACCCATGACTTAAAAGATTAATCTTTTAATCTTTAAAAGATTAAAGAGGTATTATAATAAATGCAATACACTTTTTATTATAAAGATTTAAAAACTCACACCAGGTGTGTGTGCATGCATGCCCAAGATCCTGAGAAGAGAATGGAGAAGGGATTGTGGTGTGGCCATTCCTCCTGGAGGGTGGTTTCTCACTTTCTCTTTGTCTCTTTCTGTCTGGCGAGTGCACTTGCCTTATAGCAAAAATTTCTCTAAAAAAAGAATTATTTAATGTTTAAATTATATTATTATTTAATTTGCCATGGGGCACATGTGCTCACCAGAGAGAGAGAGAGAGAGAGAGAGAATATGAGAAAGCAAGCTGACAGGTCTGGGACTCAAACCACAGTTAGCCATATGGAAGTCCAGCACTTCAACCATCATGCCAATTGCTGGCCCCTGGTACGTCACTTTCAAGATTGTTTACATTAAGACTGTAGCTTCTGTCTTGGTTTCTTTCTCTCCTCACACCTTCTCTCTTATACACGTGCCCCACTGGATCTGGAGGAAACTGTGCCCTGAGCAGCTCTATAGAGAGGCCCATGTGTTAAGAAAGGGAACTGAAGCCTCCTGCCAACCCCTATGTGAGTGAGCATGGTAGTAGATCTAGCCTCCTTCAGAGAACCCAGCCTCTTTTGAGGCTGCAACCTGGATCCATAGCTTAATAACAGCCTCATGACATAGCTTGAACTAGAACCATTCAGTTAAACCCCATGCAGATTTTAGGTCTTCAAAGACTATGTGAGATAATAAATATTTGTTATTTTAAGCCACTAAGTATCAGGGTAATTTGTTACCTAGCAATAGATAACAAATTGCCCATAAATTGCAATTAAAACATAGTTACTATGGGTGCTGGCATGTGGTGTGGTGGTTCGGGCATTGGACTCCCACATGGCCAACCATAGTTCGAGTCTTGGACCTGGTGGCTTGAATTTTCACTTTCTTTCTCTCTCTCTGTGTCTCTCTCTGGTCAAATTAAAATAAAATAAAATAATTTTTAAAAACATAGTTACTATGCAGTAGAAAATTCTGGTAGGATCTTAATTGGGTGGTCAAAATAAATATCACCAGTAAGGGGCAGATGGACTTTATGTGTCTCCAGATGGGATACCCTGAGAAAGGCAGAACATCACCTATATATGCAGTATTCCAGCCAAGAATGCATAATAAAAATGTAATCAGAAAGAAACATCAGATAAACACAAAGTGAAGAATGATCAAAAAGGGGAGAGTTGGGTGGGATTTGCATTCTTCAAAAATGGCAATGTTATAAAAAAAAACAAACAAAAAAAGGCTATGGAAATGTTCCAAACATAAAAGATTAAAGAGATATGATAATAAATGCAATACTTTTAAAAAATATTTTTGCCACAGGCATATGTGCTCTTCAGAAAGAGACAGTGAGAGGGAAAGTGAGATATCACCGAGGGAGAATGGCCACGCCACAATCCCTTCTCCATTCTCCTCCTGGGATTTTGGGCATGCACACACACACTCCTCACAAGAATTTCAAGCTGCTAGGTCCAGGACTTGAACCACAGTTGACCATGTGGGGAGTCTAGCACCTTAACCACTATGCCACCTGCTGGCTCCAATAAATGCAATATATGATCCTAGATTGGATCTTGTACTAGACAGAAGAAAATGCTATAAAGGGAGACTAGCAGATGGCATAATGATTATGTTGCTAGACTCCCACATAGTTGACCACAGTTCGAGTCCTAGACCTGGTGGCTTAAAACTCATGCTGGGCATGTGTGCATGCATGCCCGAAATCCCTGGGGAGAACAGAGGAGAAGGGATTGAGGTGTGGCCATCCCCATGGGGGGTAATTTCTTGCTTTCTGTCTCTGTCTCTCCAGTGAACCCACGTGCCATATAGCAAAAATCTCTCTCTAAAAAAAGTTATAAAGGACTTTATTTGGTCAACTGACAATGTCTGAATAGGGATAAAAGTATTGTATCAACGTTAAACCTTTTGTGAGTACCTGTACTGTGGTTATGTAAGACTATGTAATTTTTCTTGAGAAATTCACACTGAACTATTTTAGGGATAAAGCACATGATATATATGTAATCTATTCTCAAATGATTCTGGAGAGAAAAGTGTTTAGATATACAGAGAGCAAAGGATAACACAAGTGCAATGAAATGTTACAGTAGGTAGATTTCTAGGAAAAATGATATATAGGTATCATTGTACTATTCTTATATTTTTGTCTATAAATTAGAAATTATTTCCAATTTGATCATCAACAACAGAACCTATTTATTTATTATAATTATTTATTTAACTTTTAATTTATTATTATTATTTACATTTTTCTATAAGGCACGTGTGCTCACGAGAGAGAGAGAGAGAGAGAGAGAGAGAGAGCACTAGAAAGTGAGAAAGCAAGCTGCCAGGTCTAGGACTAGAACTGTGGTTGGCCATGTGAGAGTCCAGCACCCTAACCACCACACCATCTGCTGTCTCTCAAACTTCTGTATTTAAAACGCATTGAAACCATGAAAATACCATATAGAGTTTAGTATCTTCTAGAGACAGAAATTGAAAGAAAGAGCTAGGAAGAATTTCTTACAGGATTTTTTTAAAACTGACCCAAGTTACTCAGACAATAATTAAAGAAGAACCCAGGACCCGTCATGGATAACATTTTACTACTAAAGTAGCTAGAATTTCCTGTCATAGTATTTCCTCCAAAGCTCACTAGTAAGTAGGTGCTGAAGAGAAATCATACCAGCAAAGTATCTCCCAGCTGGATCCACCTTCCCATCATTGAATCGATTGTTTTTCTTGTCTATATCCACAGTGGCCAGGACAACTGCTGATTGATCATCCCAGTTCAAAGCACAGAACTTTGTTCCAATGGTGGCGACATAACCTCCTGACTGGCGAAGGGCCACAGAGCTGACAGGGGCATCTGTAGAGGCCAAAACAGCAGTTAGAAGCCAGCCAACTAGCTGTGCCTTGGCCGACAGGCACACCAAGGCCATCATCACTTGGTCTCTCTTCAAGGACCCCAGCTCTTTTGACATCAGGGGTGTTCTCTTGCTTCTGTAGAATAGGAGGCTACATAACTGAATATACATGTGCAGGGTCTTCAAAATGTTCATGGAAAAATGCAGATTATGAAAAGAAGTATGCATGCATTTCAAAATGTTTTGTGCCAAAATAAATAAATACATACTTTACTTTTTTTGCTTTGTTTTTCTTTTCTTTTTTTTTTTTTGCCATAGGGCACATGCTAGAAACGGAGAGATGTGGTGGGAGGGCATTAGAGAGAACATCCCTGCCCCCGGGAGGATGGCTACACTGCAATCCCCTCTCCTCCATTCTCTTGGGTTTTTGGGCACATGTGGACATGCACCCAGTGTGTTTTTCAAGCCACTGAGTTCAGGATTTGAACTGTGGAGTCAGCCAGGTGAGATCCAGTGCCTTAACCACCACACTACCTGCTGGCCCCATAAACCTGTACTTTATTTAATTCCACTTTTTCCACAAACTTTCTGAAGCCCCCTCATATTTATTGAGATGAAGCGTGTGTGTTGTTTTGGGTAGCAAGGACAGAAAAGTGGGTAAATCTCTGGGAGCTCTCTGCCAAGTGGGAGAAGCAGAGAAGTCAAACCACAGCAGCCATGATACAATAGGGCAGGTGCTGTGTATTTGGAGAAAGGGTTGCTAATCTAGGGGCACTGCGACAGTCATTATACAGTGAGCGATCCTTGTCTCTTCTCCACAAAATGTGCTTAGTCACAGCAATTAGGTTTTGTGACATCTCTCTCCTTCTCCAAAACAGGACTTGTCCTTTTAAAAATTTACTACAGAGCACGTGCACTCAGGAGGGGCAGGGAGGGTGGAGAAAGTGAGAAAGCACCCCCCAGGGGGATGACCACTCTGAAATTCCTTCTCCATTCTCCTCTTGGGATTTCAGGCATGTGTGCACATGCATCCAGTATGTTTTTTCAAGGTGCTGGGCCTGGGACTTGAACTGTACTAGCAGTCATGTGGGCTCCAACTGCCTTAACCACCATGCCACAGGTTGACCCTAAATTTTAGGTTTTCTGAATTTAACATTTTTCCATGGATAAGACAACCTTTTTTTTTTTTTTTGGTGGAGAGATTGATTACCATTGTGAGCAGTCACAGAAAATAAATAATAAATTTATCAGAAGAGGTTTTGGAAACATTTCTTAAGTATCTGCTCAATGCAAGGCAGTGGGCCCTTTGGAGGCAGTTCTTAGCTCAAAACTCCGCTCAAACATTGATTTGATCCACCAAAGGTTCCAGGGAATGTGTAGGGCACTATTAGAAGGGTTATACTCTCACCAGGACTCCAACTTGTGACCTGAGACTTCCAGCAGTTTTCCAAACTACTGCTGACACCACAAGCTCTGGTTTGGTGGGGGTGCTTAGCAGATTAGTGGTAAGCACGTGTGCACCCTGGGAAAGAGAGACCAGGGATGGCAATTTCTACTTCCACTCTGACCTCAGAGGTCATAGTCACTTAGCCTCCAGCCATGGTAATAGTCCTGGAGGAATGAAAAGCTTGTTTACGCTCATTAAAGAAGAAAGTTTGAGGTCTCTAGTACTGTGGCAGTAAAAAACATGACACTCAAAATTCCCAGTATCTCTTTCGTTAACATAATAATTAAAACAAGAAACTTTCTTCTCTGTGGATAGTCACATCAAACTCATTCCCTTGGGCCATAGTAAGTGATAAACCACTCCTCTGGAAATCAGAGCCATAAATGGAATCTCATTTTCACATGAGATTCTGCCGTAAGTCCTATTTTGTGCAGTGAACAAAGATAGTTCTAGTCAATGCTTTATAAGTTCAAAAGCTCTTCTTTTTACATTGAAAGAAGGGATACAGGACCGTCCCATGGCTTGGTAGTTAGGGGAGCAGGATCCCACATGACTGATGGCATAGTTCCAATCCTACTTCGGGTGGTTTGAAAAACACACTGGGTGCAGGATGGAGAAATGGAGAAGGAATTGTGACATAACCAAGCCCTGTTTGGGGGGGGGTGCTTTCTCCCTGTTTCTCTCTCTGGTCAGCTCACACACCCTCCGGTATATTAAAAAAAGGAGGGGGGCTATTTCTTTCTTTCTTTCTTTTTAAAATTAAGGTCTGAGCTAAGGCAGATAGCCTTGGCTGTGCCACTAACTGGGTCTTCAACTTTCAATGCCGTTGTCTGATGGTGTTAAGGAGCAGTCAGTATCAAAACGAAACTGGGAATGTCACCTTTCACTCAAAGAGAAGGTGACTCAAAGAGGAAAGTACTGACCATCCATAATTAACTCCTGGGTCAAAGTGGGAGGACATGGAGTGTGGACAGAGAGCATGACAATCCACAAAGTTTTAAACCATATTCAGTATACCTTCACAAGAGGGTCCCAGGGAGTGACAAACACTAGGTGCTCAACCCCTCCCCTGGGAGATGATGGCTGGCTGCAAAAATCTGAGCCTAGTTTGCATTCTTACCCATGGTCACTCGCTGCACTTGCTTGGTGAGCAGATCCCACCGACAAATCTTTTTTGCAGGAATATCTACAAAGAGCAGAGAGTTGGATGCCTCTTCCCACACTGGAGATTCACCACACCGGCAGTTCTCCGGCAAAACACATTCGATCTTAATGGAAGACATTGTTGTGGGAGAGATCTATTGAAGATAACAGAGATAAACTGGAATGTAATCTCAATGGAGTGAATTCAGTAAAACACCTGACTTAAGATCCTAGTAAGATTCCAATACAGGTTATTTGATTAGAACCGGAAAGGATGGACACACTTGCCCAGAATCCGAACAAGAGGAGACACTTATGAAAAAGAAGAAAGAGCTGATAGGAGATAACATGAAATGTCTTCAGTCAACTTACCAGTGACTTTTTTTCCAGCTATTTTTAAAAAGAAAAAATATTGACACTGACATCCACACCTTGGTGCTAGTGATCAGAAAGCCAGCTGTTCCAACAATGAAAGGCAGCCCTTTATGCTGGGACCTAGGCCCCAAGGCAGGTCAGGGGGTGGGCAGCTCCCTCATTGGTGGCCTTCTGGGTGTCTCCAGGTCACCTGCTCCTGCTGCAAACTCCTCCCCCCTACCTGTCAATGTTGTTGCACTCCTCTGATGGTTCAGAGGCCAGGGCCTTCCTGATCTGTACTCTTCTGAACTACATTTAAGAAATGTCTTCACTAGTGATTGTACACTAAGTTAGAACTTATATCCGTTTTCAAGTTCAGACAGCGGATGGGATGGAGAAAAGGACATCTATCTTTTAGGCATTTCTTGCTTCCTAGGAAGGCACTTTCCCAGTTTGGCAGAACTCCGCCAGGCAAGGAACAGTGTATGCTGGGACTTTAGGCCAAAAACTGTGAGCAGGGAACTGGGAGAAGAAAAATTACCAGGAAAACAAGAAAGATCAGATAAGACTCCCATTTGGGAGAGGAGAAAGACAGGCAACTTTTGAAAGCCTTCTTACTTTCCTCTACTTGGCTAAGTAGGGTTTAGAGTAATGACACAAATTGCCTGCACCTTCATCTTTCTCTGGGGGTGCCTATTTGCTTTGAAGTAAATGGTCCCACATATGGGTGGGCAGTGAATGGAAGAGAGAAAAAAGAAAATAGTATTTGGTCTCATATTCCTTCAATAAATTATATTCTTTAAAAAACCCAACAGGGCTCAAACCAGTTTCAAATATTGCCAATGTCATAACATTTGGAAAGTTCATGGGCTGTCAAAAATTGGCCCAGACTCCAAAGGCCTCCTTGCTATCAATTTGTGCTTGATCCAAGATCAGACGCGCCACTGTTGCAATAGTGACTTTTGGGCTGCCCAATGTCCCAGTTTTGCTCTGGCCGGACCACAAAGGGGTGGCTAGGCAGGGCTGAGCAGGGAAGAGGCGTCAAGGGCCCCCTTGGGGTACCTGTGCTGGTGAGGAGCCTTGGCACAATCTGGTAGCACCTCTGCGGCCTCTGGCGACGGCGACAGTAACGGCTATGAAGAGGCGCTCCCTGGCAAGCTGAGGCTTGAGGCCACCTTGTCCCCAGCGCGGGGCTCTGCGGAAGGCGTGCGCCAGCCCGCCGCGTGAACCGGGCGCGGGTCCCGGGTAGGCCCAGGGCAGGCGGCCTCCTTCCGGTTGCCCCTGCTCGGGAAGTCCGGCAGAGCGGTGCGCGCTCCGCTGTCGCCCAGGCCTTTTCTCTCCAAGGAGGGGGAGGGGAGGCGGGCGCGAGCGGGGCACTCGCTAGGCTGGCGACTTCTCCAGCAGCTCAAAGGTCAGGCAGCCACGTGCGGGGAAGAGAAACTCCGCCCTAGACCCAGCGGCTTGGCAGGTGGATGGTCGCAGGCCTGGGGACTGGGGGAGGGGACTCCATTTGCACTCCCCACCCCCTTCCTGCTACCGTTGTACCCCTCCTCTATCTCCGTTGCAAGAATCCTTGACAGCGGCAGGCGTGGATGAGTAGAGGCCAGGGACTCCGTGAACCTAAGCTTTGGAGTTTGAAAGGATACCTAAAGTTTATCTGTTACTTCAACAAAAAATACTGTTAACATCACAGAGACTGGAGGCGGGGAGGGGGCGCTGATTAAACACAAATAGGTTAAAAGGGAAAGAACAAAGCGGTTAAACAAATCCTCCTTACTTATCTCTAGGCAAGAAGCTCCTGATGGCTGGAGGTCAACTCTTGCAAAACGTTTGCAGTGAACGAAGAGAAAAGGCTCTATATGATTCAATTCTATTAAATCATATGGAATAAACGGATCCCAATCAGCCCTCAGCTTCACACTTTCCCATCGAGAACCTAAACGTATTCCTGGTCCTACCACCTGACCATCTATACTTTCTGGGACTAACTCATCAGTTTAAAGCCTTTTTTTTTTCCCTTTTTTTTTTTGAGAGGTTTTTGCTATAGGGCATGTGCGCTCGCCAGAAAGACAGAGAAAGATGGAGAGACAGAAAGGAGAAATCACCCCTCCCCAGGGGGGATGGCCACACCACAATCCCTTCTTCTTTCTCCTCTCAGGGCATGCATGCACACGCGTTTAAGCCACCGAGTCCGGGACTCAAACTGCAGTCACTACATGGGAGTCCAGCGACATAGCCATTACACTAACTGCTGGTCCCAGTTTAAAGCCTTTTTGTTTGTTTCTTTGTTTGTTTTTGAAGTACAGAAAGGGAGAGAAAAAGCTCTTTCCTTGCTTCTGGTGGCAGCCATCATAATTTGAGCACTGTGGAGGCTGTAAATGTCCAGTTCTTAAGTGCAACCTACAGCAAGCCTGTCCATGATGGTGTTAACAAGCTAAAATTTTCTGAAAGCCTTCAGTCTGTTGTAATGGACCAAGCTGGATACCACTGGGTGGGGGGGTGCTCTTAGAATCCTGAATTTACTGGGTTGGTGAAGATTCCACATACAAATTTGTTGAGGTTATCCTCATTGATCCATTCCATAAAGCTATCAGAAGAAACCCTGACACCCAGTGAATCATCAAACCAGTCCACAAGCAAAAGGAGGTATGTGGGTTGACATTTGCAGGCCACAGAGTGGTGGCCTTGAAAAGGACCACAAATGTCACCAGACTATTGGTTCTTGCTGTGCAGCTTGGAGAAGGGGCAATGTTCTCCAACTCCACCATTACTGTTAATATAAGTAATGTTTGTAAAATTTATATCTAATAAACAATTTAGGACAGTCAAAAAAAAAAGTATGGAGGGGAGGCAAACACAGAGGTGGCTGGCCCTTGGCACTAGGAGCAGGGATGAACTTCCAACGAGAGAAAGGAAACTTTCAGGGGTAATGAAAATGTCCTAAATTGTGATGCCATATGAGTCTATACATACTGTCAATAGTTATCAAATGGTACATTGAGATTTGTGCATTTTGTTGTATGTTTTCTATGTATCCAAGGTCTAGGTTATCTCATTATTTATATTTCTCTTTTAAAAAATTTTAAAATTATTATCATAATCTTGTTTATATTACATTGAATCGCATACAACTTTACAGTGTATTACATTTCTTTTTCTAGAAGGAATGCCATTCATATCAGTCAATACTAAGACATTAAAATCCCCATCATCAGCATCAAATAGCTTTTCATTTAGCTTTTCATTTTTTTCAGATTATTATTATTGTTATTCCAATTTTTTTAAACATTCAATCACTATTTATTATTTTGCTTGTAAGAAGACTTTACCCAACATGAAATACTTCTCAGACCTCTCCAGTTGGGAATACTGAACACGTCATCATCAGCAGGTAATAAACCATATCTGAATCCCACTAATGTCATGCTTCTCTATTTGTTCTCTTGCTATCCTTCTCCATACTCTTCTCTTCTCCTGCCCCATTCTATTATTCAGATTTCTCAATCTAATGTCCCACTCCTTGCCATGTGAATGATCCTAAAACCCCTCAGTTTTAGGGGTTTTTATGCTCAAATCACAATCATTATTTAAAAAGAATTATTTATTTATTCATTCATTTATTTTAATTCGACCAGAGAGAGACAGAAAGGGAGAGAGAGAGAAAGCCACCAGGTCCGAGACTTGAACTGTGGTCGACCATGTGGGTGTGTCCAGTGCTTTAACTACCACGCCACCTGTTGGTCCCCAAATCACAATCATTTAAAAAATTATTAAGAAAATTATTTGCTGGAGGGCATGTGTGCTTGCCAGAGAAAGAGACAGAGACAGAGAGACAGAGAAAGTGAGAAAGCATACCCCACAGAAAAAGTTCATGCTAGAATCCCTTCTCCTCTATTTCTCCCTCCCCTCAGGATTTTGGACACACATGCTCATGTGCCAGGGTGTTTCTCAAGCCACTGGGTCTGGGACTCAAACTGTAGTCAGCCACGTGGGATCTAGCTGCCTTAACCTCTGCACCATGGGCTAGCCCTTAAAATTATTTTAAAAGTTTCTTTCCTTTTTAAGAGAAAGAGAAAGAGCAAGAGCACAGCCTGGACAGGGCCTTGACATCAGCCTCAGTCATCCACCCTCAGCCTTAGCCAGCCCCAGATCATTGATATATGTGTTCTGTGTATTCTGGGAGGTCCCTGGATGTGAACCTGGAGCTTTCGCATGTCAATCAGCCTGGAAAAGAATTGCATTTTAGTGTACATCACCGTTAGGCCCCAAATTGCAATAATTGTGGCATTCTAATACCCTTCAATTCGCTAGGGAGGAAGGGCCAGAAATCAATATCCCACGGTCCAGGAAGGAAATGGTTGAAGCAACTTCAGCTCAGAATTTAAGGTTAGTAACTTAGAATAACCAGCACTTATGGTCTCAATTATTTTCACCTCACCCTGGGAAGTACTTAAGACAACTACTCTCCCATGTCCTGACCATTTACAGATGGGAAAACAAAAAACAAATCTACAAAGTGAGGCAATTCCCAAAACTACATATCCAGTTGGAAAAAAAATCTAATAAATATTTCAAATCATCGGTAGAAAGGAGAAAGAACTTGAAGGATTTTTTTCTTGGGTGGGGAAAAGAGTGATTTTGCAATCCTCAGATGCTGGGGAGCTCTGGCATTTGGTTGTGCCCCCTCTCTCAGAAGTCTCTTCCTAGCCCATGGTTTCCTCTACCTTTTCAATATTGATGGCTCCCTAAACTATGTGTCAGTCCAGATCCCTCCCCCAGGGGAGTCTGCGGCTCAAACCTTGTCCTTAGCAGTCACACTGAGATGTCTCAAACCAATCATATTGTTCTCCACAAAACTCTTGGGCACTCTGCCTTGGCAAATGGGACCATGGCACAACCAATAGACTGTGCAAGAAGCCAGGACACCTCACTTGACTTCTCTGTTCCCTACCTTGAGCCCAGTTAGTCACCAGATCATAGAATTCTCTTGTAAATCGGGACCAGCAGTTAGTGTAATGGCTATGTCACTGAACTCCCATGTAGTTCAAGTGGTTCAAGTCCCGGATCCGGTGGCTTAAACTCACGCTGGGCGCGTGTGCGTGCGTGCCCAAGATTCCGAGAGGAGAATGGAGGAGAAGGGATTACAGCATGCCCATCCCACCTGAGGAGTGATTTCTCGATTTCTATCTCTCTGTCTCTCTCTGTCTTTCTGGCGTGAGCATGCGCCCTATAGCAAAAACCTCTTCAAAAAAAAAAAAAAAAAGAATTCTCTCGTAAATGTCTTTCTGACCATGTTGACATATCTCATCTGGATTATTATCATGTCCTTGGAGGCCCCATCTCACCTCTTTGTATCTGCTACAAAAATTACCCACTAATCTTGGGACCAGCAGTTAGCGTAATGGGTATGTCACTGGACTCCCATGTAGTCGACCACAGTTCGCGTCCCGGACCCAGCGGCTTAAAACTTACGCCAGGCGTATGTGCGTGTGTGCCCAAGATCCCGAGAGGAGAATGGAGGAGAAGGGATTGCAGCATGGCCATCCCCTCTGGTGGGTGATTTCTTGCTTTCTGTCTCTCTGTCTCTCTCTGTCTGTCTGGCGAGCGCACGCACCCTATAGCAAAAACCTCTCCAAAAACAAACAAACAAAATGACCCACTAATCCTGTAGGGCAGGGCATATGCCTTATTTACCCTCACCACTCAAGTCTCACCACAGTACAGACACAGAGAGGTTGTTCAACTATATGCTTTACATATGTGTGTGTGTGTGTGTGTTTGTGTGTGTGTGTGTGTGTTGGGGGGGAGGATAACTTTATTTAGAAAAATGTTCAGTCTTACAAAAAATTTGAAGAATTCATTATTATGGAGGCAGCAGGTGGCAGGGAGATTAAGGTGCTGGATCCCATGTGTCCAACTGTGTGGTTCGAGTCACAGATCTAGTGGCTTGAGTCACGCCAGGTATTTGTGCGTGTGCGCCCAAGATCCTGAGAGGAGAATGGAGAAGAGAGGACTGTGGCATGCCCTTTTGGGGGGGGGTAATTTCTCACTATCTCTTTTTCTCTGTCTCTCTCTGGCAAGTACACTCCCCCTCTAGCAAAAACTTAAAAGATTAAAATAAATATCTTTTTATTTAAAAAAAGAATGCATGATTATACTTCATTCATATTTCCCAAATGTTAATGGTTTACCACATTTGCTTTATACTTCTCTCTCTATCATGTATAAATACACACATACATTTCCTTTTTTTCTGAATAGTTAGGGAGTAAATCGCAAAACATGATCACCTCCAGTTGAACAAACATAAGTTAACT